GAAGAAGATGGAGAGAAGTTGGTCAAAGGATACAAATTTACAATTAGGTGGAATAAGTTCTGGTGTTATATTGTGCAATAGAATGACTAGGGTTACCAGAAAGGTTATTGTATATTACAACATAGCTAAAAGAGAAGCTTTTGAATGTTCTTATCCACAAAGAAATGACAAATGCATGAGGTAATAGATGAGGTAACTACCCTGATTTGATCATCATACGACATATATGTATCAAAACATCAAATGGTACACCATAAATATGTACAATTAAAATGTGTCATTTAAAAAACTATATAATAATGGACCTTTTAAATGCCAGGTTTGTCTTAAGAATTTTTTCAAATAAGTACAAATGTAAGCATTATGGAAATGTGAAATATTACATGTATATAAGGTAGTATCCTTCAAACAATTTATTATAGGATTCTAGGTAATATTTATGTCTGAAATATCATTAAATGTTATTCCCTATGTATAATTGTTTAATAAGAAAACATGATGTTAATATATTACAATGAAATACATTTTCACTCTTTTTGAGTGGTCAAAATAAATATTTATATTCTAATATCCACAAATAAAAGATTGAGTTATTTTAATCTGATAATGCCAATGGTGTGGTTGCTCAACATTTTACATTACTTTTATGTTTTTCTGTTCTAGAACTTAATACATAATCCAAAACTCAAGTGAATTAACATCATGTCATATAAATGGTGTTTTATGACTTCCATGCTGTCACTCAATAACTTAATCCTTTGCGGCTAAAGTTTCTTGATACTCCTATTAACATAATAATGAATGAGTTTGATATAGAGATTTTTTTCTAATAAATATGTTATATACTAATAAACCTTGGATTACATAGTGAATTAGATGACACAGTTCATAAATTCAAAGTATAAATACTTCAATTTCTGGAGGCCAAATATGTCATTTTTAGCTGAGAGTCATCAGATATTTCTCATTTCAGTTATCTCTAACACTTAATCAATTTTGCAATGCACTATTCAGGCCAAGAGGAGTACAAGAGTAAAATTTTCTTTTGAAATCTAGGAATTCACAGATATGGCCAGGGTTGTCAGCCCACTACTATGGTTATAACTTTTTTATTGCCATTGTGGTGTGCTTAATGGCTACACCTTAGACATAATCTGACAAATGCTTTTCAAATATGAAGTAAAGCACCAGCTGATTCAGGTGATATAAAAACTGCAGTGGAGATCCCAGGCTTGGCCCTAATATTACTACATTATTAATTTTATTGACAGAAACTTATCAGGGCAGGGGCTAGGGGAGGCAAGTGACTTGCCCAAGGCACAAAGTTGAAGAGGGCAACCACTCTCACGTTCCTTCAAGTACTAAACCTGCACTTGTATAATACAACTCTGTTGTTGATAGTATGTCAACAAATGTGTATGGCAAGAAAATGAGTCTCAATAAGTCTAAAGGAATAAAAATCATATCATATCTGTTCTCCAGCCTTCACAAAATTAAACCAAAAATAAGCAGCAGAACAATTTTGAGAAATCTCCAGTTATCTGAAAATTAAACAACAAATTTCTAAAATAACCTGAAAGCAAAAAAAAAAAAAAAACCTACAATGGAATCATATTAAAATTTATTAAATGTAGTTAAAACAGTATTTCAAGGGAAGTGTATAAAGTTCAGCATTCTGGAAAAGAAAAAGCTCTCAAGTCAATATTTAAGCTTCTACTTTAAATAAATGGAAAAAGAAGAGCCAACTAAATTCAAAGCATGCAAAAGAAAGGAAATGGTAAGATTTGCACAGAAATCATTAAAACTTCTTAGAGAAAAATCAATGAAACAAAACATTGATTTTTGAGAAAAACAAAATGGGCAAATCTTTAGTTGGAATACAAAACTAAAAACTAAGTAAGACACAAATTAACAAAATCAGCATTCAAAGTGAGGATTCAATAATGATCATTCAAAATTTAAAAGATCATTAGGAAACACTATGAACAACATTATGCCAACAAATTTGACCACTTAAATGAAATGGATAAACTCCTAGATAGATGCAAATTACTATTAGCACTTCAAGAAGAAATAGAAAATCTATATAGACCTATGAAATATTTAAGATATTAGTATTAGTCCTCACAGAGTTTACTTTTCAGAAAATACAGAAGAGAGGGGAACACATATGACCTCATTTGATGAGGCCAGTATTACCCTCACACCAAAACGAAAGGCAAAGATTTTACAACTAAAAAATATTTAAAAATCAATGTCATTTATGAATATAGATATGGAATCCTCAACAAAATATGTGCAAATCTAATCCAGTAACATAAAAAATATTTTTATACTCTGACAAAGTAGGATTTTTCCCCAGGAATGCAAGATTATTTTAACATCTGAAAATCCAGCATACTAATATAATAAAAGAAAAAACCCACATAATCATCTCAATAGTTGCCAAAAAAACATTTCACAAAATTCAACACCAATTCATTATAAAAACTCTTATGAAATTAGAAATAGAATAAAACATCTTAATCTGATAAAAAACATCTATGACAAATGTCTAGTGACCATAATACTAATTATGTCAGACTGACTTTTCCCTAACAATGGGAACAAGGCAATGATATCTACTTTCATTTCTATTCAGCATTGTACTTGAGTTTCAGACTATTTGATGGGTGCACACACACACACAAATACCTAAAGACATTCAGATTAAAAGGAAGAAGTATAATTGTTAATTCAAAGATGCCAATATCTCCTAAGTTGAAAATCCTAAGGAATCCAGAAAAGAACTACCAATACTAGTAATGACTTTATAAACTTTGCAGACTACAAGAAAATATACAAAAATCATTTGTGTCGATGTATTCACAGCAAAATTTCAAACATAATTTAAGAAAACAATTCCTTTTCCAAGACCATCAAAAACAAAAAAAAATACTAAGATATGAACTTAACAAATTAAATAGAAGACTAACTTAAAACTACACAACTTTGTTGAGAAAAATAAAAGAATATCAAAAGTAATGGAGAGACATTGCGTATGCATTGATTGGATTTCAGTCTTGTTGGGATGGAAATTCTTCCCAATTTTATCTATTGATTTAATAAAATCCCTATCAGTATTTTAGCAGGCTTTTGTGGGGAGATTAAGAAGTTAATACAAAAATGTATATGGAACTTCAAAACAAAAATGTTCATAGAACAAACTAATTTTTCACAAAAAAGGGAAAATTGTATGACTGCCCATTTTCAAAATTTACTATCTACTTATTTACATTTATATATTTATCTGGAAACTATGTGTGTGTATATATATATATATATATATGTGTGTGTGTGTGTGTGTGTATATATATATATATGTATATATATATATATATATATATCAGGACAAATTTGAGAGGGCCAGAAATCAATTCTTATATTTAAGGTCAATTTTAACAATAGTGGAAAAAGCAATTATTATAAAGGAGGAAAGAACCATCTTAAAAAACAAAAAGTCCCAGGACAATAATTTATCTATATGCAAAATATGTAAAATAACCTAAATCATTATCTTACACCATATAGAAAAATAAAATTCATGTGTATTAGAGATCTAAATGTAAGAGCTAAAAATACAAAACTTTTAATAAATCATATGAGAATATCGTCATGACCTTGGGTTAGGCAGAGTTATTAGATATAACACAAAAAGCATGACATGTAAAAGAAAAAATGAATAAATGGACATAATCAAAAACAAGGAAAATTTGGTAAGTTGGATTTAATGAAATAAAAACTTTTACTATCCAAAGTCACCGCAGGGAGAAAATGGAAAAGGTAAGACAAGAAGAAAATATTTTCAAGTCATATATATCAGAAAGGACATGTATACAGAATATACAAAGACCTCACTCAAAGAATACATACAATCTTAAGAAAATAGATAACACAATTTAAAAATAGTTAAAAGATTTGAATAGGCATTTCATTTGAGAAGATATGAAAATGATTATTTATGAGAGAAGATGTTCAAACTAACTAGTTATTAGAGAATGAAAATTGAAATCATAATGAGATACCATTTTACATTTACTAGGTTGGCTATAATAAAGAAGATATACAATATCCAATGTTGGCAAGCATGTGGAGAAACAGAAAATCTCATGCATTGCTTGTGGGAATATAAAATGGTACAGCTAATTTGAAAAATAGTTTACCAGTTTTTTAAAAGGTTAAACACAAATTTACCATAAAACTCAACTATTCTGTTTCTAGGAATCTGTCCAAGAAACATGAATATTTATATGCACTGAAATATTTATGTGTGAATGCATTATTTGTAATAGCCAAAAAGTGGAAACAAATGTCCACCAATTGAGGAATGGATAAATGAAATGTATGTATTGTGAATTACTCTTTAGCAATATAAAGTACCAAGTACTGGTACAACAATCCTCATAAAATTATGCCAAAAGAAAAGAGCACATATTATTCCATTCCATTCTTATGAAATGCCCCAGAAAGGCAAATCTACAGAGACAAAAAGATTAATGGTTACCTTGGGCCGGGGTTAGGAACAAAGATTGACTACAAAAGAACTCTTTTTTTTAGGTAAAAGAGTTGTGCTAAAACTGTATTGAAGTGATGCTTGAATAGCTCTAAACATTTGCAAAAATTATTGAATTGTAGATTTGTAGTGAGTGAATTTTATATTATATAACTTATACTGCACTGTAACACACCTGTTAAAGACAAAGATAACTCCAGAAACGTTTTCTATAATGAGTTTTGCTACATATCTATGTTCATTTTTCTTTTCTTTTCTTTTTCTCTCTTCTTTCTCCTTCCTTCCTTCCCTCTTTCCTTCCTTCCTTCATTCTTCTCTTCCTTCTTCCTTCCTTCCTTTCTTCCTTCTTTCTTTCATCCTTTTTCTTTCTGTTCTTTCTCTTTGTTTCTTTTTCTCTTGCTTTTTTTTTCTTTCTTCTTCTTTCCTTTTTCTTTCATGATCTTTTAAGGTCCCTTCTGTGAGGAGTCAACAAAACCTTGTGTTTCTCAGTCTTGTTGGAAAGGAGGAATTTGCCAAAATAGCAGCTCTACTTACAATTGTGAATGTCCAAAAGGATTCCTCAGTCTCAAATGTGAAACCAATATTAATGAGGGTTTATCAATACCATGTCAGAATGGAACCGACTGCATCACTATACCAAAGGTAAGTCAGAATATAACATACAAATGAGTGACTGTAATATATATTTTATTATTACCAAAAAATTTGAAAAGTACAAGTAATTAAAATTCTTATAAGATAGTATAATTTTTGAACTCAGAAAAATCAGAAAATCTACTTCACTTTATTTTTTTCTTTTTACATAGAAATCTCAATTTTAAAAACATTGTTCAATTTCATATTTTGCTCTTCCACCAGTATTCTCTACTGAAAACAATATAATTTTGTACACTTTTCATTTTTAGTTATTACATTTTAAAATTTTTTCTTTAGCTTTTAATTATTTGGCATTGTTATATTTTAACTTACTAATTTAACATTTAAATAAATAAGACTAGGAAATAATTGTTAACTGTTTCTATAAATCATTATCTTTTCATGTTTATCAAGATTCATATTTGTCATCAACTCTTTAAAGAACTTTAAAAGTTTATTTTGTTTTTCCAACTCTATCAACTTTTTGTTATTAACACTTTAAAAATGGAATTTTTCTTTCCTGGCAAAGTGTCTGTTCTATTAATAAAGTCTTTAGTGAATTATTTCTGAAAAGGCTTAATTTAATTATTCAGAACATGTAACATACAGATAAGGCCGACTATAAGATTATTTTTAATCCATCTGGAATTTCTTCTACAACATCCAAGACTTGCTATTAACCTACAGTACGCAAGGCCCAACATTGGGAGATAAAAGTACAAAGAGCAATAAGGCATTCTTCTCACAATCAAGGAAATTGCTGCTGTAGTAGGCAGTCTAAGCCCCTCATCCTGCTACCCTCAGCCCAAATAAAGATGTTCATGCCCTAATCCTGGAATGTGTGCATATGTTATGTTACATACCAGATGAAATTAAGATTGCAGATGGAATCAAGGTTGCTAATCAGCTGATGCTATCCTGAGTGGCCCAATGTGATTACAAGGGTCCTTTAAAATGGAAGGGAGAGGCAGAAGAGTCAGAGTCATCAAGAAATTTGATGATGTTATGATATTGGCTTTGAAGATAGAAGAAAGGGCTATAATCCAAGGACTGAAGGAAGCGTCTACAAGATGGGAAAGTCAGAGAAAAATTCTCCCCTAGAGCCTTTAGAAGGAACACAGCTGATACCTTACCTGTAGCCCACCAAAACTCTTTAGATTTATGACCTCTGGGACTGTAAGATAATGAATTTTTGTTGCTTTCAGCCACTAAATTTGTAATAATTTGCTAGATAAAAAAAAATTGCTATATAAATAGAAAACTAATACAATAATCAATCAATAATTATTAAAAGGATATTTTATTTTTTGTTTTAAAGTCTGAGAATAATAAGAAATTAAACCAATATTCTAACTTTACTAGTTATGAGTACCTTAATATAATTAGAAGTGATCTTTAATAGATGTCTATTTTTTTTTTTTTTTTTTTTGAGACAGAGTCTTGCTTTGTTGCACAGGCTAGAGTGAGTGCCGTGGCGTCAGCCTAGCTCACAGCAACCTCAAACTCCTGGGCTCAAGCGATCCTCCTGCCTCAGCCTCCCGAGTAGCTGGGACTACAGGCATGCGCCACCATGCCCGGCTAATTTTATATATATATTAGTTGGCCAATTAATTTCTTTCTATTTATAATAGAGACGGGGTCTCGCTCTTGCTCAGGCTGGTTTCGAACTCTTGACCTCGAGCAATCCGCCCGCCTCAGCCTCCCAGAGTGCTAGGATTACAGGCATGAGCCACCGCTCCCGGCTTAATAGATGTCTATTTAAATATTAATTCATAAAAGTACTTTAACTCTATTTTACTCATTCGTGTATTATTTATAATTATGTTAAAAGAACAATTTTATAGATAAATTATGAATACTATTTGCTTAGATTACATGAGGAAGAAACAAAATCATCCATTTTAAGTACATAGGGTTTTCACCTTGAAATCACCTATCAAATTATTGTGATGATAATGATGATGACAGTAGTGATAATGAAGAAAAAGGAGAGGAAGAAATAAGGAGGATAAGAAGAGAAAAAATGTGATGACTAGGCTGTATTTAGATTGCAGGTGAGACTAACTTATAAGTATATCAAATTTAGCTTCATTTTTCTTTTTATCTACCCATAGATGTATGAATATATTCTTGTTCTAATTTTCTATTCATAATCACCCCCAAAACTTGGTGGCTTAAAACAATTATTTTATTATTATCTCTTACAGTTCTGTCAGTTGACTTTTCTTAGCTAGATTATTGTTTGAGTTTCTCATGAACTTGCAGTCTGAGAATGTCTGGGATTGGAGTTTACCTTGGAAGTTTTGTAGTACACATGTTTGATAGTTAATGTTTGCTGTCAGCTGGGCTCTTAGCTGGGCTATCACCCAAAATCTGAAATGTGACTTCTCCATGTTTGCTGGGCTTCCTTAGAATATGGTGGCTGAGTTCCAAGCTCAAGCATCCCAATAATTAGACAGATGCTATAATGGCCTTTTAAACTTAGCCTTGGAAGTCACAATCTAGCCTACATTCAAGAAGGTTGAGATGTAGCTACCAACTTGCAATTAGAGTATTCCTTTCTCTTAGCAGGAAGAGTATGTTAGATGGGAGTTACTGTTTTGACATTTTGAAAAATAGAATCTTCCACATTGCTGCATAGAGAACCTGTACTCCATATTTACAAAAATATCTTTTGCCCTTCTCCAGGTAATAGCCCATTTATTATGTTTGTAATAATCAAAACATTTGTAAAATAATTTTTAATCTTTCCTAGGATGTTATGTGCATCTGTTTGCCAATATTTACAGACAAGCTTTGTAAGAGAATTCAAACATCACATGAGTCACTTTCTTGGAAGAATAATGTCACATCTATGAACTATGAGAAAGATTATCATTGCAGGTATAAAATAATTTTCTAATTTTATGTTTTACAACAAAATGCATGGATTTTAAAGTTGCACAAATAAAAATAAAATAATATTTTGTTTTTAAGTTTAACTTTAATTTGATGGTTTATAATATATCTATTTCAAGTTAATGTCAGAAATTTTTTGCATGTCTTGGGTTAATTGTGGTACCATAACCTAGGCATACAGTTATAAACTAAATATTTTGTTTTATTATACTATAGAGGTTTTAGGGTAACTGAGTAGTGTTTGAAAGTCTAAAGTGAAAGGAGAAATATAAGTCCCCTTAGTATTATTCGTATTATATACATATGGTTTCAAAGTATTTTGAAATGGTAGAGTCATCATTTCTTTCTATAATTCACAGACGTTAGCTGATAGTTTTTAGTTAGAGTCTTTATACAGACTTTTAGCAAATCATGCTGTCTTCAAGTTGGAATTTGCTAAAAATTACTCATTTGTAAATGACAGAAGTGACCCAAATATCTGGGCATATAATTTCAGTCCATTTTAAACAGCTTTATAGACATTTTCTCACACCATTAAGAAATACAATTTGTACTCTTCACACTTGCTTGACTTTTATCTGGCTGCTTAAAGTGAGTTCTATTGGGCATTATTTGAAGAGCAGTAAAAGTAGCTTCCAAAAATTAGAGTATTCTTAAAAGTAGAAAATTAAAAACTAGAATACAGGATAGCCTTAAAACACACTTTAAAAAAAACCCTAAACTATGTATACACATCATAGATGTACCATTCATAGTACTTTAAGCAATTTCAAGGAAATTCAAATTCAAAGTTTTTAAAAAGTTAAGCTTTTGAAATTTGACTTTTCAAAAGAAAATGAAGAGAAACCTTGTCATTACACCTAAATATTGGAAGATCTAACCCATCCAGCCAAATTTTTGAATACATTCAATCTTGTATTAATTTACCAATAAACACAATTGTTATCCTTTGCAAAATGTTGACTTGACTTTTTAATTCAGAATTTCTATTTCTATGCCCTATACCACTAGCATATTTGTGAATCTACTTAGAAAAGTAATCATCTTTTAAAAATATAGATGGTAACATTAAATATGGGCAAATATATATTCATATATAATTATTGATTTTATTTATTTTTTACTAAATATGAAGCTTTTGTTGGCCTTTATATTAACAATATTGTGATTGTTTAGAAAACTTTGTTTTAAAATTAATCAAGAGAAAAACTAGATAACTACAGACATTGTCATTCCTGTTTATTGTTTTGTTATTATTATTATGATAATTAATAGACTTAATTTTAAAACAATGAAATTTGATCTGAAATGTTTTGCTAGCATGTTTTAGGGTTAGGATGGATATTTTAGAAATTTAAGTTAGGTTTTCTTAGGAAGACCCAAATACATTAAGTAGATAAATTAGTTATATCAACTTTGAAATAAACTCATGAAATTGATATGAGTCACTATATGTGTTCTATGATTGTCCACATGTAGCCATCCCAAACCAATTTAATAACATTGTCCCTTCCTTTGGCTAAATCAGATTCCTATTAATAAAGGGTAACATATAAGGAAAGTGACAGAAGAGTGAAAACAAAACTGTTTCAACAAGGCAGAAACACCATGTGGTCTAATTTGAATTATAAGTGAATCAGAAATCAATAGGAACATGGCACAAATTTGGAAAACAAATGCAGAATTTCTAACCCCCTAAACGCTATCTCTAAAATCACTACCAACAGTAAAAAAAAAAAAAAAAAAAAGAAATTGCTAACTCTGACTCAGGCGAAGTAATGGAGATATAATCAATATAAATTAATAAAGTTGAAAGTTGAAATAATGATAGAAAATTAGTGTTGAAATGTATTTTCCCATTCTCACAGTAAAGGAAGAAAATCAATGAAAATAATAAGAAAAACCCTAATAATAATGAAAACCCTTTGACTTAAAAGCTTTTACCTTAAGTATTTATCTTTGTGTTGGTAACTTATAAGGTGGGTTTTTCTAGATTAGTGACTCTAAAACTTTGACCAAATTAGACCTTCCTGAAGGGATGGTTAAAGCACAAATATTGACAGTTGTTTCTTGTCCCTAGTTGTTTCTTGTTGCCAATAAATCTGGGGTGAGGCTCACAGATGTGCACTTCTAACAAATTCTGAAGTCATGCTGATGCTGCTGATCTTGAGACAGCACACTTTGAGAATGACTGGTCAAGATGAGCTGAGCTCAAATAGCATCCATGCAGAAAATCCTCTTATAGAAGTATTCCTAGTTTAACTACCCACCTCTACACAAGCTTTTACTTTTCTGAATCTGGGAGGAAAAAAGTGTTAGATTGAAGGAGTTAAATGAAGAAAGAAGAATAGACCGATGATGATGGTATCAGTTGCCCTGCCTGAATATATGGTGTAAATCTAAATTCCCATGGTAAGATAAGAGATGAACTGAAGTAAAATTACCTCCATGAAGAAAATATGGAAACACTGGATATGAAAATTTATTTGGTACCTAGTGACCAAAAGCAAAACAGTGTCACAAAGGAGTTAATTTTCACTTGTAGCAACAAACCACCTAGAAGACTGAAAGCTTTAAGTGTCTTATTGGCAGCTGGCATAACAATTTTATTCCTTATAAGCAGTAAGAGTTGTGAGTGTCTGAAGTAGCAATGCTGGGAACAGGTGGCACACGAGTGGAATCTGATGGAAAAGGAAAAGAAATAATTGATGTCATGGAAGCATCTGACAGGTGGAACACAACTTTGGTGACTTTCTTAATTTATCCAAGAATGTTTTGGTTGGAGGTGTCAATAATTTAGCTAATACTCTAAAAGGAAAACTGTTTGTCAACTAAAGTAATTGCAGAAAATAAAACAAATGTTTTAAAATAACACATGAAGAGTTTCTCTTAACATTCAGTATGAATCCACTAAAATTCAGCCAAGAAACAGTTGGTTCACTCAAATAGAGTAATTTAGGTGAGTTGAATAAAAAGACTAATGGTTATGTACAGGGTCAAGGGAAAGCAACAATGAATGAATACTCAATCTTGGATTAGAAACAGTGTGGCCCTTTTCTATACTGAAGAGGCAAGCTAAAAGTACAGGTAATAGAAACCAAAGCGAGAACTGTAGTTATAGTTTAAAATGTTTTAACATGAACTATGACTGATGGAGATAAGCACAGTTACTGCCAGCCTACAACCTGGCACTGAGGGAGTGGAGGAATCCCATACCTGCCCTTACTCTCCTCCCACCTTCTACCTTCTGCTGGAGCAGCATATTAGTAGGGACCAGTCAAAAGCCATTGGTCCACATCCTGAAATGCAATGTAAGACAAAGAGGGATAAAGAAAAAGCATTTAGAGGAGATAGCCAGTACTAAAACAAAATCCAGTGATTAAGATAGTGAATTGCAAGTTATAAAACACTAAGAAGATTACACCAAGGGGTGAAGGAGAGACCAATGTCTTTGGAGGTGGTGGAAATAGGGAGAGTTGTTCTCAGAGACTAAGATGGGTGGAATGTCTACCTGTCAACTGGCTCCTTAGAAACAGAATCCAAAATAGAGCCTCTAAGAGGCTAAATATACTCATAGGATGATATGAGAAGGCTGCTTCCTCAATGTCATGGCTCTCTAATCCACATGGTCTCAGGAGATACACAAGAAAGTGACCAGAAGTGTGGCCCAACTTCAAGAGTCAGAATTGGCTGGAAAGTGAGGTAATTCCTCGTGAACATTGTGATGTAGAAACCCTTCCTCATTTCTGGAACCAGCATTTGAGGTAGAAATGGGAGAACAGGAACTAGAGAATTCTTCTCCCTCTCCAGCATCGTTCCTTTCTGCCTACAAAAGTGAAAAAAGAGGGGTTGTTTTTATTTGTTTGTTTTGTTTTTTTATCAGCCGCTTTGTATTTTTTAAGCCCAAGCAGATGAAGTTTTCCAAGGTCTCTTTGGCACTTCTGCACTCTGATACTTAAACCATTTGGCAGAAAGTCTGCACTTAAGTAACCCTGAACCACCTACTAGAGGTTTTAAAGAAAAGTGAAACAAAATCAACAGTGATACCAAAAGACTGTATTGCAGCAGGTAACTGTGCTACTGGAAGTTATCTCACAATTGTGAAGAAATTCAGCAAGGAGACAAAGCCGAAATACAAATAAGCATAGGATTAAAAAGATCCAGAACCATAATCAAGCTCTGTACAGACCAAGAACTATGTATAGACAATTTGATTATATCAGCCAATAAATCCCTGTATCATTTTAGCCAATTTGAATTGGGATTATGTTATTTACAATTGAATGTTTTCAAAGTAAATACAATGGAACTCTGCAAACCACTGATTTCATTTGTATTACATATTTTAAATGTTTAATTTTTTTTTGTCATTTAGCAGTTTTAGTGCTCACCCAATATTATCTACCAAAGAAAACAAAATATTTCTATAATATGGTTGACTATGTACAATAATTCAGAGTTACGACAAAAATTTATTCTACTTTACTATATTCAAAAGAATGATTATATTTTATTCATTTGTATATCTCTAGAACATTTTATTATGTTACACATAGAATATTTTCCAATTAGTCTATTTAATTCACTATTCATTTTGTTTATAACAAGTATTAATGATCTTAATGATCAAATTGGAAGGTCATGACTTGGGATGTAATGTGAAATGATTAATTTATCCATTAATTTAATGAATATTTATTGAATGCCTACTTTGTCAGAAACTTTTCTACTGTAAGTGAACCTCTTCTACAGAAGTAGGAAAATAGAAAAAAAATAAAAGGTATAAAAAAGCAATTTCCATAAGAAACTTGTATTCTAGTAGGTAGATACTATTTTAAAGGCTCACTCTGACTTCCTTTCATTGAATAGACAGCTGGTGCAAGATCCCAAGGGAAGAAACTGGGAGACCAGCTAGGAAGCTACTATGACTACATAGCCTCCAGATGATGGTGATTGACACAGCCATCAAAGTGACTTGTGATGAT